AAAGCGACTGAAATTCTTCCTAAAAGCTATATTAGCAGAAAGTACCGTGTTATAAAGGACCTCACGAGTTTCGACCAAGTTTTCCAGCACGTTATTTTGCAAGAAACGGAAGAAGCCAAGTGTACAACCAGTTTCCGAAGCTGGCAACCACAGCTGGAATCAGCGCCATCCTCGGCAGTTTCCTGAACCTCGCGTAGTCACATTTCAGCCACCGCCACATAGAGGGCGCAACCAGACATCCAATTTGTGTTTTCTGTGTGTTTTATGATTCTTTTTAATAAATAGGCTCGATTAGTGAAAATGTGCGCTAATAATCAGGACCTGGAACAGTAATCTCCATTTAATACTAAAAATATCGGCCTAAATGTCTGCCAAAAGGGGTCAAAATACTCGTTTTTGACTATCAACAAATACGTGATTTCACCTATATTCAAACTTTTTTTATGGAAAATCAAAAGTGAAATTTAGAAAAAGGGCCTCGCTTTGCAAAGTGGAATATGTTTTTCTTTGCGGGCCTACAATTTTATTCATGTGTGCCAATCCCTAAGCGCTGTACCACTGTACTACCAAATGAAGTTTGCCAAAATTAACGGTTTTTGTCACTTTTCACGTGAGCATTCCGGAAAAAGTTTAAGCCATATTACAATGAAATTTAGCGTAACTCTTTCGACCATAATTACAAACTGATGTAAAAAGTTTCAAATAAAATGACCGAGTAGGCGCCCAAAACTTCGCGACTGAAGTGCTTCCGCAAAGTCAATTTTTCTAAAGTAAATATCTGTCAAAATAAAATAAAAAACGAAAAAAGCGCCTCCGTTGACAATGAACGCACTCTTCTTCTATAACATTCTAAAATTAGAAAGAAATTGCTCCAATAGTGCACCCTGTACCACTGTACTACGAAACCATGTTTTGCCGAAAAGGTCAATGTTCGCGGGTGCCCTCTGAATTAGCTTTTTGCACTAGGAAAACAAATCCTACATCAGATAAAAGATAATGTTGTACACTACAAGATGATATATAACACATAATTTTAGCAAGCTTGAACACGCCACGATCGCATTTCGAAAACGTGCTGAAAGCGTCATATGTCTTCACTGATTAGTCTTCTTTTGGCAAGCAAAATGGCTGTCATTAGCACACTGCATAGCTTACTGCTAATTAATGAACCTCAATAATAAGGACACCTTAAACAGCATAGCATTGGACCTGATCCCCAAACTCAAGAAGGAATGCCAAGAATAAAGTTTCGAGAAATGTTACAAAATATTGAGTGTAGAAAATGTAAAAAGCCGACACGGGAGGCTGTGGAGCTTCCCTTTTTCCAAAAGATGTAGCCAAGTGGAGACAAAACCATGCAAAGTTGAATCCAAAAACTCGTAAACTAACAATAAAGAGGAAAAACACTGGCAAGCTGACAAACTCCGCAATACATCAGCAATGCAATGGCTATGAACCAGAGTGTAAACAATTTGAGGTCATAGAAAGCAATACAGAGTGTAATAGCAGACTTTTGAAGAAAAAAAAAAGGTAGCTTTATCAAACAACCCTCCTTATCTTTGAAATGATCATGCCACTGAAAGTCTGCATTGATTTCCACAATACATAACTGAATGGAACAGTCTGCTGCAAAGTGTTTTTGAATGTAATATCCTTGCAGGTTTTGGATCCAAACTGAAAAAGTTGGGTGAACAAAATATTGTTTGAAAAGTTCCTCGTTTGTTATTTGTTTTTTTTTATTCAAGGTTATCCATGTTCGTACGCCAACATGTTTTGTGCATTATAATTGCTTCTGGATGTGTATATACAGAATGTGTATATGCTAGCCGAAAACCCACCCCCTAACGGCCAGTAGGCCCTTACAAATAAATAAAATAAGGCGTGTCTGAACCCAAAACTTTAATTATGGCAATTAAAGGGCACTTGACAAACCGAAAATATAATTAATTATTTTAGCTTAAAGTGCTGGAGTGTAACGTCAGGACACCATCCAGTCAATTATGCGCTGCAGAGTCCCATGTTTACCAAGAAAAACAATGTCGAACCGAAACCAGGGTATTAGTGTGAAGGTATGCGACAAGAAAGAAGTGGCAACGCCGAAAGATGGAACAACAGGTGGCATTGTGAAGTCTGCAGTTCTTCTCGAGTGTGCATCCATATCACTCATACATAACAGAATAATGAAGCCCAGCAAGGATTAAAGGTACAGTCTCCGGCAATATGAAAGACCCACTGGGAGCGCGTGGCCGAGGCGGTCGCCGACGGCGCGCTGCGAGCGCTACGGGCAATAGACCCTTTCCAAAATTCAGTCTGGCCACTTTGATCACTATCATCACTATCTGAAAAATGGCATATGTGCCATACCAACGGCGGCTTTCTATTTACTGATGAAGGAACATGTTGAAGATACTTTTAAGCTGAGGCATAGCTGAGGATTCGAGGCCTATTCATTCTAGACGTTAGCACGTTGCGAAACCGGAATTGAATGCAAGCGTTGCGTAAGTGTTCATTTCTCTAATTTGAGCCCAGTGAACCTGTTAGTGGCACAAAATCGACTCCGAAAGCCCTTGACTTATAGAACTTTATCAAGGCGTCTGTATGGGTTGGCGCTTCGTTCTGACTGGTTGCATCGTTGTGTGAATCGGCACTGGAAAAGATGATCCAGAAAAACCTGTATAGCGAAAAGTTTATTCTCGTCTGCCGTTGACATGCAAAAGTGACGGTGCCCGATAAAATACTGCAGGCTACGGGTTCATTGCCGCCATTCGTATGGCAAAAGTTAAACCACCATTTCAGCCACCAGATGGCACTGAATTTCGGAAAGGGTCTATTCCATTCTGCTTCGAGGGAGGACGCTCACTCGGGGCTCAGCACAATCTGATAAGCGCGTTTCGCTTTAGCTGAGCCCCAATTGAGCGTCCTTTCCTCGAAGCAGAATGGAATCACCCGGAGCGCTCGCAGCGCCCCCGCCAGCCACCGCCTCGGCCACGTGCTCCCAGTGGGTCTTTCATATTGCCGGAGACTGTACCATACGAAAGAAGTGAAGGCCGTTGCGAATGGAATAAGCGCTTCGTGACATGCGTGGTATCCAAGCTCTCTCCGGCCGTCGCATCTGTAGCACGATTGAGAAAAATCTCTCGCGTCGCTGCCAAGCCGTGGCAATAGTTGCTAAACCAGACCATGGCCCTTGCTGACTTTACGTTAAACACCCTTTGGGGGCCACTTAACGCCCGTTCGGCTGCTAGCCAGCACAGCTGGTGGTCAAAAAGGGCAACTCTGAGCAGGCCATGCCGAGGTTACTCTATCAATGTCAGTTGACAAGGTTCCTAGAACGCCTGGTGCATTTTCGTGGCACAATCCGCTCGGCGGTGCTTGCTACACTATCGGCTCGCCCGTGTGGACAGGAAAGGCGGTGGAATGTTGGGTGCAGATTGCCTGCACTAGAAAGTGATCCTCTTGTGGCTTTTATGGAGAACATAAAGTTTGCGCAAAAACAGTGTTGGGTCTAAGAATGTTGGGCCATGCCACCAAGTGATTGGGCACGAGCGCTAGGTCACAGTTCGGCAGAGCTGTCCGATGTTGAAGCTCGGTTCCAGCGATTGCGGCTGCAGTTTGCCTCATAGCTAAAAAAAATTCTGGACAAGATGGCGCTACCTGTTGAATCAAACTTAATTGATCGACCGGTCGGCCCGGTATGTATGCTTCTTTTGCAGGGGTTGTGGCGATGTCAGAAACCCGAGCTCTGATTGGCTGATTAGTGGGCAGAGCTCAAGGATGCCTTGAGGTCTGCCCACTATACTTCATTCAGAGCCCGGCGTTCTGATGTCTCCATAACCCCTGCATAGGAACTTGCGCTCTGCCTTGATCTATTCCAACTGCTTCACCAACAAAGAGAGAGGGTACTCAGCCTTTTTCACCTATTATAATCAAAATAACTCAAAACTTGTTGGTGCGAGAAGGGCAAATAATGGCAAGGTACGCGTTTTTCGAGGATGAGCGTGCAAGCTACCTTAAAAGCCAGACTCGTGTGGTTGAACGGGCACAGACATGTTTGTTATCAGGACACACAAGCAGAAGTGACAAATCAGACAGTAGACACGACATAGTCACGTCGGAAACAACATCTCTCTCATGCCCAGAAACCGTTAACCGCGAAGAGTTAGGTCACTTGGCAGTTATCATTTTAAGAGGTCTGACTTAACTCAGAAAATAACACAATAAAAAGACTTGGGATTTGTTGGATAAAAAAAAAAACGCACAACTTAAATCTTATTGACGAAATGTCACGACATAACAGCTTGGGTTCTTTCTCCTCGCACACTTGAACGCAGCGACATCCCCGACTTGCACGAGCTAACCAAGCGCAACACCAAATGTAAAGTGCAACTGGCCTTCCTAATTTTTTTTTTTTTTCGAACAGGGAAACAGTACAACAGGCAAAGATGTACTACGTGGAGCGAGCCCAAGGGAAACGAAATGCCAGAGGCCGGAACGCGCACTGTAGCAACGCTCTATCAAGGGTTAAACAACGAAGTGCAAAATCGAATCGCGGTGCCCTGATTTAGAACAATGAGCATCCAACAAAACAAACACAAACGAGACGTTAACTCAATTAACGGATAGAACGACCACCAGTCAAGAGTCAGTGCAATTTTAACAAAAAAACAAACAAACAAAAAAAAATGAGAAAAATGAAGGATCAGCGCGACGCAGAAAATGCGATGATACCGCAGCGGCGTCTTGGGCCGCTTTGAGAAGGAGTTTTAGCCGAGAAGCCGCCAAGGATGGGTGTCGATCCTTGGGGGGGCATGCCACCCCCACCCTCGATCACGCCCGAGGAAAAAAAAAAAAAAAAAAAAATACTCCGGCTAGGCACACGAGCACGACCGCACACGCTCGCGCGCTCATAGGCGGGGTCAGCGACGAGGGGCAGGTCATCCGACCGCCATCTTGGTCCAGCCCGAAATCTTGCAGACGAGCGGTCGTCTGCTTTCACTCACCTGCGAGTTATTGGCGGGCACGACGTATTCCGATTCCTGACTCCGGTCGGCGCCTGTGCTCATCCTGAGCCGGGTTCACGTGAATCTTACGCCGAGCCCCGAAGGGACTCGGGCTCGTTGGGCCAACGCGATGGGTTGCCATCCATATGGGACACGCAATTTTCATAGGGGCGAAGCGCGGCGCGGCCTCCCGTGCCGCCTGCCTCTGCGGAAGCGTACGGGCGTGAACCGGCCGCCTCGCGCAAGTAGTTCATTCCAAACTCACCCTATTGAACTCACTATCGTACAAGAATGAAACTAATATTTTACCGTGATCTTTAAAAAACAAATTTACAGATAATTCCGGGTGTTTTAGGTAATGCGAGTGAGTGTTTTGTCGGAGGATTGGGGTAGACCGGCAGGGTCGCGTTGCACGGCGGAAGGATACGAAATGCTGAGCGGGCGTAAGGCGTGTTCAATATGGCGGTGCTGGTTGCTTGGTAGGCGTTCCTCACAGGCGGGACTGATGGGACAATGGGACAGCTCGGGTAGTTTGAACAACACCCACCCGTAAGAGAAATCGCGTCGCCTCGGTGTTGGTGGATTTCGGGGGTGGCGCGGGAGCGTGCGCTGGGGAGGAAATAAAAGTACCGAGTAGTACAAACACTCCGGGGTGGTTGGCGGCACGAAAATTGAGCCCGCTGTTGCCGCCACGCGCCACACGTTGGAGAAAGCAATAAAAATGATACCGGATTTTGTTTTCTTTCTCTCTAACGCGCAGTGTTTGCAATCGTATGTAGCGTATATATATCTATGCGCTCGCTCAATGTTTACCAGTCGACGAACCCAGTCAAGTGTCGGGAACAATAGAACCAGACCCAACCCTGGCGACTGGCGCAGCATTGTTTTGTCGGACCGTTCTCGCCGATCGTTTACAGTTTTATGCAAAGCGGTTAATAAAAATAAGAAACAGCAGCTGGTCGACAGGACGAACTTCACAGGCTTCCGAAATCAGCTGCCCAAAGCGTGTTGCGCAAGCACCGCACTAGTCCGACAGCTTCGATCTGCGTTTTCTACGACTTACAAACACCACTTATGTTCTCTTTTTTTCAAGCCAATTTTAATGACATAGAGATCGTTAGACACGTGCGAGTTGCAACTGTAAGCGACCTAGAAAGCTCTACAGTTCCACACTACCAACGAGCAGCCTATGACGACGACAAATGCTTAAATAAAGAACAAACAAACAAAAATCATGAACAAGGGGTGAGTTTGCGAGCGCGTGCTCGGCGCTCGCAACATCTGCTCGCAAAATATGGGTGGCCAAATAATGGCAGGGCGGGCGCCAGCAGCGCCGCAGCGCTGTCTACCCCGCCCTTGGGGACCGACCGAACCCTCGACCGCCGTAGCGCAAACACACAAAACGCACTGCCGCCTGCCTACGGTTTCGTTCTCTCTCCTTCGAATTTCGCTGTGCGTTTTATTTGGTTGTTTCGCCTTCTTTGTACCTTTCTTTCTGTCGATGTCTGGGAGCCAGCGGGCTAGCAGGCAATGTGGCTGGCCACTTTGACTGCTACGAACGGGAGCAGAATAATTTTCTCCCATCGTTTTTTTTTTTTTGTTTTTGCTTACGTGCAGTTAGGTTATTTATGATTGCGCCAAAGTGGAGTACTGGCACTGCACGTGAAACAACGTACACTTCGCGACACTATTAACTTAAAAACAACTTTTGTTTTGTTTTGTTTTACGTCGAAATGGTATTGGCGAGCATCAAAATTTACCAAAAGTCCTACAACGTCGTTCAGAGCTCCATTTTCTGCTTATGAAAAAGCGAAGACCGTAGCACTTTATTTCCTCGAAGTGTGTGCGCGTGTTTTTTGCGTAGATATACTTCTTTTTGTTTCACATTGTTGCGCGATGAGCAGTAAGTGAAAGTATTTCAGAAGGGAAAGCAAAAGAAGTGTTTGGAGGCCATTGGCCTCGTCGGTGAACAGTAGTGATGAAGAGAAAGAAAGAGCAAATAAAACGACGAAAACAACAACCTAGAAGAGACGGCGGCGTCTGGGCTACCAAAACACTAACTGATATATATATATATATATATATATATATATATATATATATATATATATATATATATATATTTGCACCCTACCATTTATATGTTTTTCACATCGCTTGCTAGATAGTATAATCGGCCGCCGTGTAGGAGCTGATTGCAGACGACAAAGGACCGCAGCAAGCAGACGGTACCACCACACGCTTCCGGTTTATCTGTACGGCTACTTAGACGGCTACTAGGACCCTTTGCCAGCTCGCTCTTGGGAGTCTATTGACACCGCCGTAGGGGGGCGGTAGGAAAGAAGGTTAACGCCCCCGGGTCGTCCGGGCGGTTGAGCTAGAGACACTCTCCCTCTTGCACCAACCCAACGCCCATCCTTCTTATTTTTCTTCTTTTTATTTTTTTAATGTTTTTTTTTGGGCGAGTAGCGGGCCAAAAATACCACTGCCAACAAAAACAAACAAAAGCGCGGGAAGCGCGGGGGGCAGTTAGAGGGAAACACCCCGTCCCCCACCCACTTGCGCACGTGCATTCCGCCCTCCTCTTCCCACGTGCGTTTTGTTGTGTGTGCTTATAAGCGGCGCGCCTTGCCGTTTCGCCGGTTACTGTGAACCGCGCGCTCAGCCCAGCCCTGGACCGGCTGCTCCGTACGATTTACAATGCGTGCCTAATAAGAACAAGAAAATACCATTACAGCCAGCGTTTACATAAAGTGGGGAAAAAAGTTTACCGGAGCAGTACGACCGCTCCTCCCCATGTGCATAAATGGAAATGGCTACACACTACAGTTGTGAAATTAACCGAGTAACCACCGATTACTCGATTAATGCGCCCACTTCCAATTAATAATTTAAGCAATCAATCGGTCAAAAGGTGAACCCTGTACGAGATTAGACGGTAATTATTTAAGGAAAATTCCGCTGCAGAACCGCCTGAGGGGGATCAAGAGCTCCTTCGTGATTTCATGACAGCACGACAGCATGACAGCGTGATTTCTTAACGTATTGTCTTAACATTCAGCGAAATAAAATATAAGTTTGGCTTTATAATTGTCTTTATGAAAGACTTGAGCGTGTTGGTGATCTAAATTGACCTAAACCAAAGAAACACACTAGAGGACGAAATAGACCACTCAGCCTTCGTGTCGTCTGTTTCGTCTTCTTGTGTGTTTCTTTCGTTTAAGTCATAATAATTGCCTTGTTTGACAATGTTCGTTATTTTCGGCCTGCCATTCTTTGTATTTTTCCTGAAAGATCAGTGGCTGACAACTTTTGCGACAAAAACAAATCAAAAAAAAAAAAAAAAAAACACAAGCGTGTTGTCTAAAAGCAATATTATACTGTCAGCTCAGGTTCCTACTAGAGAGTGCTCTTATGATGTTTTATTCCGTTTTCTATCTTGCTATTGCCCACGGTTAAAAGTAGGGATGCAACGAACCTCTCAAAGTTCGAGATCGAAAGGTTTACACATTTTCGAACCTCGCTAAGGTTTCTGACAGGCCGAGGTTGAAGATATCGAATTTTGTTTTACATTATTCGAAAAATTCGAACATTTAAAATTTCTTTAAGATCCAAGTTGGAAAAATTGAATATTCGAAGTTTATCGAAATACAAGTTCGAAAGTTTCGATTTTAAAGGAGCTGTGCAACGATTTTAACGTTGAAAGAATTGGCATCTTCTGCTTTTGATGTTGTTCACCTTGTCACAAATGACAGAAAACACACCTCCTTTCATCGGAATGTTGCGATTCCGGCGCGTAATAGCGAGGCAAAACTTAGAATATTCCCCGACCTGCAGCCGCGAGCGGCGGCCATGAGAAACACGCGGTGTGACGTCAATGGGGAATCTTCAAGCAAGATAGCAATGTTGTACGAATGCCTGCTCTATAAAAGGTAACTTTTCTATAAATCTTGTCGTTCCAACATATATATAAATGCGTCAAAAACCTGGTATCATCGACAAAACTTTCATTATACGGAGTTTTAGTGGCGCCATCTATCCTAGGTCCACAAAACCGTCGAACGGCCGCCAGAAGCCGGAGGGGGACAGGGCCGGACGGGTATGGCCGGACCCGGATGAGACTTTCCTCTTTTCACCAAATTGTTCGCGCGGCGCCCGCCAGCACGTGGTCACGCGGTCGCGAGCGGATGAGTTCTCGCTGCTCACTGATGGCTCTAAAGAGAGAACTTTTCCGGAACCCCGCGCATACCCCATCAACGTCACTGCGCACGTGACCCGGAAGACGACGTACGAGTTGAGAGGCGGCAAAAACCTGGATATTTTTCATTATTTTTAAAATAAAAACTAGGGTATCCAGGCAAAATATGTTTTCTGTAGTTCACTTCAGAAGTGTCAGGCATCAACTTCCACAATAATTTAAGCGAATCCCTGAAATTGTTGCACAGCTCCTTTAAGTTCCAGGTCTGAATTTCGCGGATGGAAATCAAGCTCCGCAGTTTCAAACTAAGTATTCATAAATTCATTAAAAAAAAAAGAGAGATTGCGAAATGTGTTACAAATTTTACTAAAAACGTTGCCCATTTCTTTTCCGCCGTGAATATAGACCGTTCCATTAGGGTCATAGCAGAGAGGGTAAAAGAGAAAAAAAAAAAAGCACTCTCCCTCTCCCCCTTGTGCCGTCCGCTCCGCCGAGTGGGCTGTAGCTAGCGTCCGGCTGGCGTGCGAACTCTATTTAAAATCGCGTCATTTTGGAACTTTCAAGCGCAGATGCGCAGATTTTGGTATGCCAGTTATCGTGTAATACTATACTAGATAAAAAGACTCACAGGGTCCAATTGCACTATTACCTACGTGCAAATAAAAAACAAAAATAGGGAAAACTGTGTCAGATTGGCCGGTCTCTTTGGCGAAAAGAAAATCCGGTTGCTGTACCTTTTTTACTATACAAAAGTTCGTACTGGTGTAGGCCTTTAGCGACCATGAGTGGAAGTCTGAAATAATAAATAAAAACGTGCTCTCCTGCCGCAATACACGCAGTAGTTGAGGGTAGTACTGCCGGTTGACTCAACTGCTATTTAAGTAAGGAAAAAAAAAAGATATGCTAGTTGATCATTTAGCAAAATAGAACAACAGAGAGCTATAGGCTGATTTTGGAGTAGCCACAACTATTCTAAGAACGCGAACCACTTCACAACGGCAGCCACGAGCGAGAGTTCGG